TCTCAAGCGCTGTGAGATTTCAGAAGGAAGTTATTTTGAGTGTGAGAATATAAAATTGTAATTATATTCGAATAAAAAAATTAAAAAAGTCAGTCTCATCACTTAATTTACTAGGAAAACTTATTTAGCATGGCCTGACGAATACGCTCTGTCCCAACTTTGAGGATACCCTGGACAAAATTTCTTTGCATTTTTCTTACAGTACGATGCACGTGTACGATGATAAATATATAATATAAGCTCAATAAACGATAATTTTGCAAATAAGCGAATGAATTATATTTGAATATAAAATTTTCCAAAAATCAGTCACACCAATTGATTTACAACGTCACTAAGACGAATAAATATTGGATCAATTCATTCATTTCCTCGATTCTATATCTAATAATATTTCTGTAATAGCAAAAAGCTTAAGGTATCCACTTTTCCGGGGTCTCCAATATCTACTATATCATTCTAGCCCAAAACAAATCGCAATGTAGAATATGGTAGTTAATAATAAGATGCTTATATAACTTTGTTATTTAACCTCACAACTTGGCGAGCATTATTCGCAAATTGAAACCATATTCATGTGTGAACTGTGCCACCTTTGATGTCCATTTATCGTAGGCTAACTTCTGAAAAGGAAACCGATAGTCATGTTTTAGAGTCCTATCGAAAATTAAAAATTCCGCAAATATGCTTGTTGTGAGCACGTACAAAGATGGAGACGCATTCCTGCCTATCTACGGATTTTTTATATGATTTTCTCTTCTTGGTTTATGTACAATCATTCCAAACAGTTAAACTTCACTTTGAGTAACTTAACACACTAAACTTGCTGGGCGACTTTCCTCGTAAATAGAATAGAATAAATTCGATTGTGGAATAGTTTTCCACTACTAATCTAAGAAAATTATTTCTCACGGAGCAACTATTTCTGATTCTTACTTAAACTTATTAAGTCAGATGAAGTGCCTTAATCTGCTTACATCATAGGCAATCAAAATAAAAGGAGTACTTGCCTACATTTTTTCATGGCCCAGAATTCACGCCTAACAGAAGATGCGTCGTTCGAGTCTGTTCGCGGCTCATGTTTTGTTTTTCTTTTTACGTGCAACTTGATCGATGTGTTGCGTTTTCATATTAGCAAGAAAAATAAGCTTTGAATCAACCACTATGTTATGGAATATTCCGTATATTCGACCCTATTCATATCGACGCTGACAAATTTCCAACATACACTCGATCTTCGCCATCATCATGATCCACAACATCTGTCCGCCAGTATAAAACGTTTATCGGAACAATCGAAGGGCCAGGGCCCCGTAATTGCATTCACGTCACGTTGTCATGTCAGTTTCATAAAGTGCTTCGTTCAGGACTTATTAATAGCGGACAGTTGGCAGAATTGATCGTAGTAGGTTATAGGAGGGATGGAGGATAGGTAACAGCCGGGCCATGGAGGGAGATGGGAGAGTGGCATATTATCAATCAAATCCGATGATAGTTTCTCTGGTTGTTAGGCCCTTAAATGGGAACGACATTCCCTCGTGTTCGCTTGGAGTGCTATCCATTGTGCAAATTGATCCAATACTGGAGCATATACGGTGACAAAAATTTCTATTTCGTTAAGAGTACATAATATTGGTGCTGTTATATCACCGAGTCAGTGTCGCGATATACTGATAAAACTTTTAGTTTGGGACTTGTTAATGGAAGGCAGAATTAAATGAAAGATATAGTAGGGATGGAGGACAGATAACAGTGAAGTCATGGAGGAGAGTGGCATATTATTCATCAAATTGTATTATAGTTTCTCGTACTGTTAGTCCCTTAAATGGGCATGACATTCCCTCCTGATCACTCGAAATGCTATCGAATTTTGGAACTGTTAGGGTAAAAAGAATATTCTTTCTTCGGGATTACTAATAATATATTGATGGTGATATATCACTGAGTCGGTATCGCGATACATTAATAAGGTGCTTCGTTCAGGCCTTGTTATAAAGGTGTTTGGCAGGATTAATTGCCGTACGTTATAGAAGCGATGGAGAGTAGGTCACATTCAAGGCATGGAGAGTGTGTGTGAGAGAGAGGGAGAGAGAGGCATGTTATCAATCAAATCTGATGATTCTCTGGTTGTTAGGCCCTTAAGTGGTAGTGACGGTCCCTTGTGATCGCTCGGAGTGCTATCGGTGGCTCAAACTTCTCCAATGTTAAATCTTCTATCTGAGATAAAAAACTGTGTAAAACTCTAGATTTCGTTGAGGTGTACCATGATCATGGAGTTGATATATCAATGAGTCAGTGCCACAGTATATCAATGAAATGCTTTGGTTAGGACTTATAAAATCAGACATTGATCACGATGGCTTATAGAAGGGATTGAGCAAATTGGTATAAGCTGTACATTTAGCAGATTGCCTTCCTTACCGAGTTTTTTTTTGTTTCAGGTATATATGACTTCATCCACTCCATAACTTTGCTACCTGCTAGTGCGCGGAGGCCTTTGAAAATGCGGCATCTCTTTGTGAAATGTTGGCAAAGTCGCTGTAATCAAAAGGTAACACGTCAAAGCAGTAGCGCACGATGACTTCTGCTACTGTCATCAATTCTGGTATTTGACTATAGTTATAAGATTGCTTAATCTACTGTTTCTGAGTAGGAAAGGTAAGAAAATGCTTTAACCATCTCCAGAAGATAGTAAATTTGTCCTATGGTCATCAAATTGCTAGGTTAGCATGTCTTCATTAGTGATAATAATAAAAAAAATAATTTTAAAAAGTGAGGCATGTAAGGTATTAACCATTTTTTTTTGTCATGAAACGTCTTGGTTTCTCAGATAGTTTCTACTAATTTTCCACTTCCCACACCTACTGTACTAGTTGTGTCTTTTGGGCGCTATATGGCAAATACGAGGGGTTATCCAATAAAACCGGAATTATTTTTTAAAAGTAACTTTATCTCCTTCCAAATACTGTCCAATACAACTAATACACTTGCCTTACCGGTGCTTCCACTGCTTGAAACATTTTTTGAAGTCTTCGAAATGTCTGACAGCTCCTCCCTCGTTTTTTTCTAGACCTCTTCAATGTCATCAAAGCGGCGTCCTTTCATGGCCCGTGCCAGGTCAGGCGAATAAGGTGCGTAAGGCAGCGGACCATGCCATTTTTAGCCAGAAACTGTCGAACAGAGATGGCAGGTACATTATCGTGGTGGAAGAACCAGTCTCCTGACTGACACAAGTCGGGTCTTTTTTTGCTGAACACTGTTTCGCAATCGTCTTAAAACCTCCAAATAGCACAAGCTGTCGATTTTTTTCAACATTTTCGTCGATTCGGGCAATTGATGGACGTCCAGAGCGCGGTTTGTCATCAATCGCCGTGTCGCCATTTCGACAACTCAGGTGGCACTGAACTTGCAATGAGTAGCGCTGTACGCCTCTAGGGGCAGAAATGTGTACTACAGAAGCTTCGCCCACTGCAATGCTATTCCGGTTATTTTTGGGTACCTCCTCGTACATCAAGGAAAATTATGTCATTTCCGTATCTCTGAGTCTGTCTGCCCACTAATCGTTGGCCTGTCTGTAACTTGGAAAGTACCGGATTCAGATGAAATTTTCACATAAGATTACTAATGTGCCAAGGACGAACAAGCTTTTAGTTTTTGAAAATCGGGCCAGTGGTGGCGGAACTAGAGTCAGAAAAGAAAAAAATAAAATCGCCCAATCTTCGCTTTTTGACGTTACAGATGCTCCTGATCATTTTTGAAAAAAATTTCAGGAGTACAAATTTGGGGGTCGGCAGTTATAGGGGGGGGGGGGGGGTGAGTGATACTGTAATGTAAATTTTTGATGTTTGTATATTAATGCACTTCCATCCCTGGTAATTCTCCGTACCTATTAGGCATATTCCACACATCATCGATTACCTCGTAGAATGACCCTTAATAGGTGAAACGATAGTGAAATGTTTTCGAAACGTCTGCTGTCCGGCTTCACCAGCAGGCGTATCGGTCTCCATAAGTGTCTCGCATGACTGGCGCTGTGTTGCCCGACCAAAGACAGCTAACCATGGATAGCTGTTTAATGCTTTTTTGCATCTCATCAGCATAGTCTTAGCTTGGTGTTTGGGAATGAAAGCATAGCAACTATCCACTATCCAAGTATAAGGTATCTGGCTCTTTATGAATTGACAACTGATATATTTCAAAATGTTAGTGACATAACATAAAAACTCCTAAGTATTGCAGTAGCAGTTCCTGGAGAATATACACTATATTAAAAATTGTATTACAGGAACGACTTTTTTATTTAGTCATTATCGTTCTGTTAAACTCCATCTTAAGGGCTCCTGGAAAAAAGTCTACCCTAAACATAGCCTATATTGTTGAACAGGTGGCCGCACTTACCTTTTCTTGAATGGAATTTTGAGCAAACTGCGCCCTTTACCGCAGTAAACCATTCCCCTGAGTCACCAGAGGTGTGAATAAAAATTCATGAACCCTAATCTTGAGGGAAACCTCAAGTAAATTTTAAACATGGAAATTTGTGTCTTGGTAGTATGCTCCACACATTAATAATGTAGATGTTATTTGTATATTAAATTACATTTAAATATTAATGCTCTATAAACCTAAAATGACAGACGCAAGTACTAGTTTCAGTTCAGTTATTTGGGAGCTTCTTGGAGAATGTTTGGAAAGTACGTATTTTATAGGTTCAAAGGAGAATAGCTAAAATACGTATTTTCTGTTGCCCAAGTTAATAAACATATACTGAGTGACAAAAAAAGGTAAACACCTATGTATGTTTATCCGATTTTAATAATTTTTGGCATATATGTTCAATGTCTCTTACTAGGAAAACGATTGAATTTTCATGCCTGGGCATCGCGCTGATAATTTTTTCGATATCCTGTTGGGGTATCTCATTCCAGGCTATTGCAACTTCGTGAGTAAGAGCTGCTAAAGTCTGTGGAGAGCGTTGAAAATTCAAGAGCCTGCGACCTATCATGTCTCAGACATGTTCAATTGGAGAGAGGTCAGGCGATTGTGGTGAAACAGGTAAACGGTTGATGCGATGTTGATACATGAAAGCTAACGATGCTCTGGCAACATGCGGTCTGGCATGTCTTGCTGAAAAATCTGGTTTAGGATGGTGTTTGGGTATGGAATAAGATGAGGCTCCACTGGCCATTTTATCACTTGTTATTCATGGCAAGATAAATCGATATGTAAAAAATTCTTGAATTCTAATAAACATAGGTAGATGTTTACCTTTTTTTTGTCGTTCAGAATAGATCATACATCATTCAAAATGTGGAATACGATTTTTTCAAGTTCTTGGTCCGATAGGAACATTATCACATCAAAAGTTGTTTATCTCGCTGCTACTGAAGTACTTGCACTTACAGCATTTATTACTAGATCATTTCGTAACATTGTTATCTCAATTTGCTGCCGCAGCAGACCAGAGTTATTTTTTTGCATTTATTCGTACATGAATGATACCCCACTCTATTTTTGACGATACTGGACCGGATCAAAACATAACAATAAATGACATCTGATTATGTTGTGACATTTAAAATAATCCATATCGGCAAGTCATATGGATCCGTCAACAATGTAGACAGAGACGTAGCCTGTCGTGGGTTTTTGTACGGTACGGATATTTTCTAGTAGTTTTCATTTAGAAAAGCTTAAATGATCAAAAAACGATTCTAATAAAATGTTCAACAGTGTTTTGGGTGAATAGTTGTGGATCCGGTCCTGGGTTTCATCAGCTTAAAGCCCTCTCCAGACTCAACGCGTGAATCACGCGCGAAGCCACGAACTGCCAGCGACCCATGAGTGTGGATCCCATACCCGTATTCTTCGCGGTTTCACGTCGCGTTCACGCATTGTTCCCGTTTGTTTTCGGTTTTTTGTCCCGCGACAAAGGATTCGCAAACATGACTAGGCTTCTCATTTGCTGGTTTTTCAGTTGCCTCATAGCGAGTGCCGGGAATGATTGTTTTTTCCGCTTCTTTTAGTTTTACTTGCATATGTGTAATGATAAACTGCCAAAGCACAAACCAGCTTTGCAGCAGCAGTAGCAATTTCACCATCCATACACGTCAACAGAGCGAACTACACTGTTAAGCAGGCACGAACACCTGCGACTGTGGAACTGTAGCAACAATTTTCGGGATTCGCACCGCGATTGCAAGCCGTGATCCGCGCGTGAGAGTGGAGAGGGTATTATTGCAGCTAACAGAATAGACTTTAAAAATGTCTCTTGCTGATCAGCCGTTCACCTCAATAGACGTCAAAACGGGACGAAGTACTGTGAGAAATAGATTGTGCCTTCATCTAATGGACAGAAGTTAATGTTAATCTGATTAACATTCGGGTCCTTCATGAACTGGATATACAGTAATGGACAAAAGTATATAGACAAATTAATATTGTGCTGTATTTCTTTTTGAACTTGTTTTATTAATACACTAACCTCAATATAGCATAATACTCACTTATACATAAATAAATTCATTAGACTCCCTTCAATAAAAAATTAATTGAAAAAAACTGGAACTATGAAGGACAAAAATATATAGACAAAGCAAAACAATTATAGAAAAAAGAAGCAAAGTTCATTGAATTATAGAAAACTAACCATTTTTGTGTTAATATTAAAAATTTTGGCAATGTCGACTTGACGTTGACCATCTTTGTATAACTCAATGATATTAGTTTTCACATCGAAAGAAATTTCTGGACCACGCGGCATGGTCTTAAAATCACTCAACTTACTCCACAATACGATGAGCACAAACTAATCCTCTTCTGACACGAAACTGTACTAAACTAATATTGAAAAGAATTTGTCTACAAATTTTTGTCCCTCGTAAAAAAGTGCTTATATTCAGACTTGTGTTCATTGAAGATAATGTAAAAACAAGGAATTTAGTTTTTCTACTATTAACGCATTTGTTTATGGAGCAATGAAGTATGAATTGGTTTTCTAAAGATATTTAGGTAAATATTCATATTTGTCTACATACTTTTGTCCATTACTGTATGCTTATGAAAATACGCTGCACTTTTTTATGTTTGTTGCGTACTATGCTTATTTTTTAAAATAAATGCTCCATTTCCGAAATGATATATAAATTACATAGAAAAACTTACCCTCCTAATTTGTTTCGAGAGTTATTCTAGAAACGCAAAAATTGCAAGAGGAGGTGTATTTCAAATTAGTCTGTCAAATAAGAGAGACTCATATTCATGAAAATAGTGGCCTACCTGGAAATTTCCTAAAATATCCGAGCATTAATTTAAAAACTAATTAGGCCCTCTCTTAAAGAACGGTGCATCATTTAGTTCTTACGATCAAACCAAAATAGCAGTTTTTGAGATATTTAATAAAAAACAATTTCTGGGAGTATTTGGTTCAAATATTTTTTTAATTGAAATCAAACAATAAGTTACCTCTTAATTTAAGTGACTTAACAAAACAGCTTGGCACATTCCAGCAACTCCAGATATTCCAGAAACCACTCCTACGATTCGGGCTGAATTCTTTTAAATACTTCCACTGCAACTAGTCAACCGCCTCTCAAACTTCCAGTTACAACATTCACTATATAAGAATTCGCGCCCAATAGAGATTTTTGCAGCTTGGATTGAAACGTTTTACCAACTTCACACATTCCAGCAACCAACTGCAACGCTTCGCGTTCAAATTTTGGATATACTTCCGCTGCAACTGATCAACCGGCTCGCAAACTTTCCGTTTCCAACATTCACTATGTAGGAATTCGTCTTCGACCCGTTCTATACGGAAAACTTTTCGTTATTTAAAACTTGCAGCGTCTTCGATCAAAACCGCTCGGTCCGGAAATCTCCATCGAAGATTGAAAATTACTGAAAAAACTTCACGGCCGCAACGCAACCAGCAACCCCTTCGTATTTATCGGTATTCGGCAAAGTTAAATGGTGTTTTGCGGAGAGCTGCTAAGCAAATAGTATAGGAGTTGCAGTATTAAAAATACATTGGCAGAAATGTTTGTGAGATTTGAGTTCGAATAAGGAATCTTGTCCAAGGCGGAATGACATTTCACTTATTTTATCATCCATTCGACATTAGAAACAATGAATAGAATTCGTCATTCATTACAAAGATACAAACATCCAATATATACAGGGTGTAAAGTTAGTAGTGGATCAATGGAAGTCAGGTGATAGAGGGCCCCAGAACATATCGAATGAACCCCTATATGTGTGGTTCGAAATTTTATAGTTCATGAGTTATTTGCAATTTTGTGAAATCTCGATAAAAAAGGGATAATGAACTTTTAATCGCAATTACAACGTTTAGGGCTGTAATTTTTTTTTTGAGATGAGCTAAATGGTTAAAATCACAGCTCTAAACCCAATGGTTTTGTTATAATTGCGACTGCAAGTTCATTATTCCGTTGATCCACTACTAACTTTACACCCTGTATACTCAGTGACATTAAAAGTGTTACACCCCGAAAATATAATTTCTTCTACTTGATTTTTCGGCAGTGAGGTAGTCTTACATGGAAAATGAAACGATAACATTCTCACGAAATTTTATCGACAAGTAATAAGAAAAAAATATATAATGTGTTGGGTGACCCCGCAGCTGAATACACTCCTGTATACGTCTAGGAATAATGCCACTCACGGCGTACAATTTAAAAGCGATGTTGCTTTAGAGATCGAAAATGCAGAACCTCAGAGAGTACAAGGAAACAGTGCAAACGACAATGCATGTGGAAGCATTCGAGATTGCTCAGCAACATTTACTTCCCAGACTATAGGGATTCCTCCTGGAAAGTTAGATAGTCTTGTAGAAAGTACTCCTCAAAGTGGAAAACCGCATGGAGTGCGGTTAGGGCGGCGGCTTTATGTGAGCTCCGACATATTTTAAATAAATTGGAAATAATTTTCGCTCGCTGGCGATGGCGGCCTGCGGATTTCAAGCTTCGGTGGCTTGGATTCGAGCCCCAAAGCTGCTGTTGGGGTATCCTCTGAGCAGAGTTGAAAGATTGTTGGTTGTTTCAGATTAATTGAAGATCACGGCTTCTTTGTTAATGCGACGGGGGTGATTAAATAAGTGGTGGTGGTGGTCTTGGCTATTTACGTAAAAAAGTTTTTCAAATATATAGGCTTTTACACTTGTTCGACTCTGCGAATTTTGGACAAACTCGTCTCGATACTGGGTGCCTGCTAACGGTTGGGAAATCGCTTGTGCTACCCTGTATACAATAACTGAACAAACATTTTTATTTTCTCGTGTTTTCACAACAAAAAAGGTTCACTAAAGCTAATAGTTTTCGAGATATTTTTGTTTGTAAAAGTTCCAATGCATTATTTGTACCATGATGATAAGACATTTTTATAACAAATAATCAAGTTGCTTAACTTATTGTCATCTTAAAATTATTCATGAAGTTTAAAGCAATGTTATGACAAACAATAGAAACCATAGCAGCGCTACTCAGATATTATCCAAAGCGACAATTCTGCTGGTTAACCATGCTGTTTAGGTGAAAGTGGGCTTCGTCACTCATAAACAAAATGAGGCTCTCATTTTGATCGATCAGTGCTTCCATCTCACGTGCGAAGTTCATTCGTTGTGCATAATCTCCGGGCTGTAACTGTTGCACAATGGCCAATTTGTAGGTGTGAAAGCGGAGATCCATATGCAAAACTCGCCTTACCGAACGATCACTAAGGCGAAGTGCAGCAGCATGTTTCCGGGCAGATCAACTCGGACTGCGGAAAAAGACCTGTAGAACGCGTTCTACATTTTCAGGAGTTCGAACTGTTCGCGGCGCTCCTCTTGGTATTCTGTTAATCAGTTCACCACGCCTGCGAAGTGATTCAACCCAACGAAGGATGGTGTTTCGAGAGGGAACAGCGCTATTCCGATGAATGTTGAAGTCGCGATGAAACTCACGCTTTACGACGATGACTGACTCATTATTTCGGACGAAACAATTATAGGCGAAAACGCGGTGCTCCACCGTCCAAGGCTCCATAACGACAACTGGTAAA